ACACACACACACACACACACACACACACACACACACACACACACACACACGAACAATCCGTCAGTTTTTTTCAGCGCCAACGGACTGTTTGGTTGCGAAGAGGAGGTAACGCGAAGCAAACGCTAAACAACCCCGTTCTACGCGTAACGTCCCCCTTGTGTGTTATTCTGGTGACGAGTAATTATTTTGAGTAATTATGAGGTGACGAACTGTTGATTGAAGAAAGACTCCAGGGGAAATTTTGTATGCACACAAATACAACAATACTACTTACAACATCAGATAACCTACATGAACCAGGATCAGCAAACCAGGATACGAAACAAATTATGTTCCCATAGGGATGACAGTGACGATACAGGTGATGTCCTGGGTGAATTTATCCGTTACCTATCTGCTATTTAGGTGACATCCAGGGAAGCGATTCGGTCTGGGGTTTGTAATGTACTACTCAAAACAGACTCATTGTTACCACGAATACATTGATTAGATGCTCATGGAATTTGTCAGAATCGAATGGAATCGAATGGCTGTGAGAGCGTTTAGCGATCACTTAGGAAATAGACAAATGGAAATGACGGAACAGAACATGATCAGGCGTGAGTATCACACGAAACCAACACTACCAAATGTGCATTTCAATCAGACAGATACTATAGTTTGCAACACCGGAACCCCCTTATTGGTTACATCAGCGCCGAAAAAGCAAATAATGCGACATGTTTAAGTTTCGTTTCATCTCCTTAACCATTGACACAAAACAAGTTTATATATATTTCATAATGAGTAGTATATGAACGCCTAGACAAAATTTCCCTGGAAGTAAACGACCGGTTTCGCGGTTCTTGCCGCTCGTCAGGCACGCGTATCCGGTAATCTTTTGTCATTTCATTCATATACTTGCACCCAGGAAGTGTATTTTCGACACAATAACTTTGTTTGCAACGCCGGGTGACTTTTGGATAGACAGCACTCGGTTTCACAGGCGTTGTAACTCATCAAGTGTGTACATCTGCTTCTTGTGTGCATATAAATATGAATATGGATGTATATATATCACATTGATTTGCTCAGGCGGAGTGAACGAAAGTGTGCATGCATTTGGAGGTTACCAAAAACAGATTGGCTACTTATCTGTCACGAGTTGCTGCTTGTTACACGGAGACAGATTGAATCATTGGCTGTGAGATCCGGAAAGACAGTCTCATTTTCATCCACTTGTTCGGTTTACCCAATCACCTCATTTTTGACCATTTCAGTGGCGCGTAATTTGGCCATCAGCAAATCATATCAAATGCCCGTGGAATCAACAGACTGCGAAGAAAAACTGACGTTAAATGAGTGAAACCCCACACGGAAGTTGATTGAGTTGACGCTGTGTTGTATGAAGAACAACAGAGGCGAGAAGGAAATTGTGATTTGCATGCAATTTCCCCTTCCAACTCAGACATAACAAAGAAAAAAACCCTTTTTATATATATATATATATTTCAGACTTACAAAGATGTAATTTCGACGTTATTTATCCCATTTTTTCTCTATTTCGTTCTGTACATGTTTCTGCACGCACTAAATCATTTTGCTCTTATGGATAGTAGTAAGTGAATAAGAAAAAATAGTGAAAATAAATTACTCAAACCGGAAGCACGCCAAACGTGCCTTTGTCTGTTACGAGATGTTGTCCGGCCGTGCTATTCAACCGCATCCCTCGACTCATGACGGATGATCGAGGCAGAAGCGCTTGCCAACTAGTGAACCGTTGATTTTTCATTCCCATGGAGTCATAATCCCCGCCAAGGCCATCGGAAAACAAACTGCTTGAACGCCGTTTGTCGGCTCGTGGAAGCAGCCACATGGAATTTCTAGTGGACCTGCAGAAGGAAAGAAGTAGAAGGGAGCGGGGTTGGTGTAAGTTTGAATTGGTGAAGAATAACTGAATGACTGAATGAGTGAATCATGAACTATTGATTGATTGAGTAAAAGAACTAAGTGTCAGACATTATCGTTTGAGGTTTTTTTCCCTTGTGCTAGGAACTGTACAGAAGCTTCGAATGGAAAAAATCGAACACGCTGTTGTTCTCTAGATGCAGGATTGTAGGGAGCAATTTTGGAGCATATACAGAATAATAAAAAGGTAACGAGAAATAATTTTTGAAACGTCAAATTTAAGCAGATTTATTGATCCAAATAAATTTGCATCCTGTTTTGAGGCTACATTTGTACCCAGTAGACTTTAGTAGACAAGCCAGAAAATTGTTATCCGCGATAACATAGGCATAAAGGCGTCTCAACTCAGTCTTATTCAGCAGCTGTGATCGGTAGCTCATCGCGTTACCCAACCTCGATTTGAACCGTTTATAGTCGACTCAGAGTACGCTGCATTCGATCAAGGACATACGGCGCAGATTTGGAAGTCATCTGCTGAGACAGTCGGAACGAGTTGTTATTTGCCGACAGCATTATCAAAGGTTAAGTTCATCCAGGAGTAGTGATACGCGATATCTTGGTAACATTTTGCACAACGACTAAAGAGAATTTCCCGGAAGACAGTACATTTACAAACTGTTCCCTTGCCGTAGTGGAGTTTCGTGCGCAACGTGGAACAAGACACTCGTATGGTTGTGAGATACTACTTACATTTGTGAGTAGCGCCCAAAATAATGCGGTTAGCGGTTTCTTTCAACGGTCAAAAATGAAGAAAAACACTTAGAGCGAATTACTGTCATCCAACTAATCACCACAAATTGTTCCAATAATTACCCTGTGTGCTGCCGAGAATCGTGGTGGCATGCTTAAAATGAGATAGCTTGTTATATGTATGCCAAATTATTCATAACTGTTGTCCGCAATAAACAACTATCCTCGACCAGGAACCACCTTGTGAAATTATAACAACTGGTGCAGTCGCCGGGATCAGGGTGATGGTTCTATGGCCTGAAGATATCGAGGATGGAGACAAGCGGACGTTCCTGGAGGAGTTTGGGGACGTCGCAGAGCCGGCGGGGATACGGACGAACCGGGGTGAGTTGACGGCCCTTCCAGCGATTCTCAATGGCCGGGCGCGGACGGTATTGAATGCGTTGCGAAGGGGACCAGAGAAGATGATGTGGGACACCGCAAACGACGCTATGATTGTGGGTTTTGACATCCCGGCCGACCGTCAGGAGGCGTTGTGGTGCTTCAGAACGACACTGCTCGGAGTTGGCGTGGACCTCCTGATGCACGCCATGACCCAGGGTACTCTATTGGATCGAGCGTTGCCAGCTTTGAACGAGACCGATCGCTGGGAATTATTTATGGAGCGTTTCATGGAGACTGCACCGGAAGAACTACGGGGAAAAGGCGCGAATCATCAACGCTCGGCGTGCCACGCTGGCTGGAGCCGTGAGAAAGTAAACCGATCATGAAGTTGTGGCTTTCCAGACTCACGATGTCCCCAAACGACTGCCGATAGAGGATTTTACGGCAGTCCTGAGAAAGATTACAGAAGAAGTGGCGGCACTAAAGTCAAACTGCGGAGTAAGGAATGACAGGAATGTGTGCTTTCAATGAGGCAAGCTGGGCCACTGGTGTAGGAATTGCCCAGAAGGATAAAGGAAACGTTTTCTCGACAAACGGTTTATGCAATACTTGCCCGTCGTTCCAAACAAAACAATCATTGAAGAAGAAGGTTGCGGCGCAATCCAGGCCCATTTGGAGATAGGAGGTCGGAAAGAACTATGCTTGATCG